TTTCTCGATTTATGCGTGTCATCCTTGAAAGCGCAGGGGCCATGCTAATCTTCTCTGTATCGTTCCAATTTTAACGGATGTCCCGAAGGACGGGCTTGACATTTCTCCGCTGGCCCCTTCGGGGTTGACCTCGTTTTCTGGTTGTTTTATTCGGAGCTGAGATGGACAAGATCTGACCACACTGTCGCACAGATCCTAACGATCGACGGTTGGAAAGGGCGCCTTCTGTAATTTATAATTTGAAATAAAAACGTCGCTTTTCACGGGGCGAGGAGACGCTACCTTCTTCCCCCGAGGTCATCCACCTTCAGCTCAATTCCGGCTGCACCTGACCGGAAAATATTGCTTCTATACACTCATCATCCGGGTGCGTTATGTTCGGCGGAAGACGGTAGTTCTGGGGAGCAGTGGGGACTACTACCACTCCGGAACGACACTACACACCTCTTCAAAACAGCCCCGCCCCGCGCTTTCTGCGCCTCCCCCAGGTTTCGCTGCGGCGGGCAAAGGGACCGCGGCGATCCCGCGCAGCAGTGCGGACAGCCCGTGCCGCCCTAAAAATTCGAAAAGGCACACGTCAGCACGTGCACGTGCGCCTCGAAATTAAAACGCCCCGCCAAAAAAAAAAAAGACGCCCCGTGCACGTGCGCCTCGAATTAAAACGACCCGCCAAAAAAAACCAACAAAAACAAAAAACGCCCCGCCAAGCGGCGAAGTCGCGGAAGGCTAACGGGTCCATCCAGCTCAGTCGGAGCGCCCAAGAAAATGGTAGGTGAAATACGGACCCGCCGCGGGTGCGAATCCACACCGGCGTGGTCGCACTAGCAAAGAGGATCGGATCGAAGGCCTGAATCTGGACGAGTTTAAGGAGATGTGCAGGAAATCGAGATTGAACTGCGTTTCTGCATTTGGGCTTAAAACACATCCAGATTCAGGAACTCGATCCTATCCTTTTTGCTACCGGGACCTCGGCCAGGAAAGAAGAGAGAATATGGCGGCTCGCTCCACATGTACAAAAGACAAAAAATATGGCGGTGTATGTTTCCGTTTTCTAAGGGAAGATTCACTCTCACCTTGGACATGGAGCGAGGCCCTAACAGGAATGAATAAGAAAAGAAAAAAGAAAAAAAACAAAAAGCTAAGAAAAGATAAAAGATAAAAAAAAGAAAAGAACGAACGAGCAGCGATGTAGGGATCGCTCTTACCAGCCTTAGGGCCAGGCCTATAGTGGGTACTATGTGTCGTGGTGGAAAAGCATGAATGAATTTGGCTACGTTCCTGGTCGAAAAGCATGAAT